AAGAGTGGTTTGTCCCCACTTATTTGTATTTGGGGTTTTTGGAGATAGCTTGACACAATTTTACTTAAAATGCTGTTCATGGGTCTTTGGACTTGCTATCTAGTTGCTTTGTCTGTTTTATGTGGAGATTCAGCAAGAGTGAAAAACCATGCCACTTTTGTCTCCATCTCGAAAAAACTTTTTGTTTTCAACCAAAGGAATGAATAGATTAAGAATGGCCATGAAGTTTTTTTAGTACATTGAACAAATGCTTTGCTTTACAAAGATTCTATCTACATACAACCAATGGGAAAGTTATCATTACGTAAAGCTGCATACAGCTAAATTGTTAGATAGGTTCGTGCTGAGCTAACAAAACAAAGCTGAACCTATTGGGATTTTGATCTTGGGAAAATAACTTCACTTCTTAGGGCTTCCTTGTTCTCATTTGTAAAATGCAAGGGCTGGGCTAGATATTACTTTAAGATATGGTCTTAACTCTTCTCCTTACTAGCACCATATTAGACATTATTAAATGCTGAGTGGTGGTTTGTCCTGACAGTGGAAATTAAATTAAACAGAGAAGTTCCAGAACAAGCAATCTCTTGGAATGGCCAAGTAAATTTAACCCATTAAAATGAGCGGTGAGGTGGTTATTGAGCTGTGATCAAGTTATAGATTGGTAGTCATATTTGTTTTTAAAGAACAGCACAATCAGAATTATCTTCAGCTCTTCCTTGCTCACTGACCAACTTCAGGTAAACAGTCTTCTCCAAGATACCTGGACCTCTCTGAGTTAGACAGCACCTGCGATGCCTGGGCAGCAAAGCTAGCAGTTGTGTGTTTACTGAATGGAGGGTCCTCATGTGCATCATTAAGTACAATGATCCCATCATCCCTAAGGATAGAGGAGTAGGTCTCACTGGCTGCTCAATAGAAGAACCTGATGGCTTTTAAACTTACTGGTGGTTTGGCACTTACCCAGACCAGCTGAATCAAAATCTATGGGGGAGGCTCTGGCACGGATATTTAAAAAGTTTCCCAGGTGACTCTAGGAAGGTTGAGAACTACTAGATGAATATTGCCATCCGTGCTTAACAATGATAGATTGAGCCAATTGCCTAAAATCCAAAGTTGTATAGTTTTCAACTAAGTAGCAGAGCCAGGATGTAGACAAAGTTCTATGTGTATCTGCTAAGCAGTGCCACCACGTCAAGATGGAAGTTCTGTGAGGGCAAAACCATGTGTAACTTCCTACTGCACTTCCAGTGTTCAACCCAGGGCCGGCTGGGCACATGATGGGAATCGAATAAGTATTGTTGAATGAATAAATAAGAAGTTCCACAATGACTTTTCCTTGACTACATCCGCATAGGAACACACAGGGTGTTTGTTGCTTGGCCCTTTGCTCCCATCAAAAGCCATCTGCTCCATTGTCTAAGCATTAGTGTCCCCTTTCTGAGTGGCTCAATTAGCTCTGCAGCTCCACCTGCTGATGCTTCAAACACAGTTGGAATTTCCAATTTCTTGTTGCAATGAACATGGGAGAATCTCTTAAGAGCCCTGTGGAATCTGTCATTTGAAAAGATCTTTGACTCTCCTTCACGGAATGAAGGCTAGGAATGCTGGCCACTTTCAGCCTTGTATTTTCTGCACTCCAGCACTGAAATGGAAGTTTTCATAGGCTGTCACTGTTACTGTGAAGACAGAGGAAGGAAAAGGAAGCAGATAGCTCAGGTGTTCCATGCTGTGACTCCATATATAATATATAAAAACTATATAATATATATTCAGAAAAGTGCACATATTTTGTCACTGCCCTTTGCAAATTAAATATGCAGAGTTGAGACCCATGAGGGAACACTTAATAGGGTGAGGGATTGATTGTCACCACGTTAAGAACAACCTGGGAAAGCTGGGGTAAAGGGTGTGTTGCATGTGAATGCATTGCTGTAGGGCAGTGAGGGCGAACCTTTTGAGCTCGGCGTGTCAGCATTTTGAAAAACCCTAACTTAACTCTGGTGCCGTGTCACATATAGAAATTTTTTGATATTTGCAACCATAGTAAAACAAAGACATATATTTTTGATATTTATTTTATATATTTAAATGCCATTTAACAAAAAAATCAACCAAAAAAATGAGTTCGCGCGTCACCTCTGACACGCGTGTCATAGGTTCGCCATCACTGCTGTAGGGAGCTCAGTGTCTCAATTGCCGCTGTCCCACGAATGGCCCTCCCTCAGCTGCTCGCACAGGAGAGTAGCCTGGGAATCCGTATGACTCAGGGGTTTCAGCTCAGTCTACACAGCTCCTTCATATTTTGTCCAACCATCACAGGAGTTGCTAGCTTGAGCCCCAGCCATGTCTGCCAGCTGGTCAGCATTCCATTCAATGGTTCACGCATTTAAAACGTATCTGCCAGCTTTCCCTTGCCTCATCCTTAGTGAGTTCACCAGCAAAAATCGGGGTCAAGCAAGGGCTCAGAGTATGACTGAAAACTTTCCATTTTTAACCAGTTCATATTGGTCTCATTCACTGCTGTGTGGGCCCAACTCAGTGAAAATTATTTAAAATATTTTCAACTCCAAGAAGACCTTCATGATGCTCTCATTCCCCCACCCCCCTTTTCATGAGAGGGCTTATTCCAATTCCCTGAATACTAAAGGGGAGTTCAAGGTTTGCAGATCAAATGTTATTTAAAATAAAGACATTTTAGAGTGCAAATAATTCTAGAATTAGCTAAACCTGAGTTAAATCTCCACTCCTTCAATTTATTTATTTATTTATTGAATCTACTGTGGTGACATTGGTTAATAAAACTACTGTGGTGACATTGGTTAATAAAATTATATCAGTGTCAGGTATACAATTCTACAATATATTATTCTGTATATTGTATTGTGTGTTTACCACCCCAAGTCAAGTCTCCTTCCATCACCATTTATCCCCCCTTTACCCTTTTCTACCTTCCTCTACCTCCCCTTCTCTCTGGCAATCGCCATGCTGTTGTCTGGAACTCAATACATGGGGGACACCGCACATGCTATTTAGGCTGTGTGATTACAGACCTAGAACATAGACATTCATCCCTTCCCCCTCTGCATTGTAACTCCATGGGATCACAGTTTATATTACTAGAACTTGGCAGAGGCTTAGCTGTCAATGAAATTGAATGCATTGGACAGGCCATCAGCTAGAGGGAGGGAAAATAAGGGATTTTTATTAGCTATATTTTTAAAAAAATGAAATTTAATTTTAGAATGCTTTTTAATATTGTTGCTCCCACTTCATTTATGCTAGCTTCGCTCAGTCTTTGTTGTAAGAATTTAAATAAAAGCCCTGCGTGAGTGTTCCAGTACTTGGTCTTGTACTGAGTGACCTGGAAAAAGGCCCGCCTCAGTCTGGCTTTGTCATTTTCTCCTCCGGCTCTATTTCATGGAGATGCTCTGAGGGACTGGTGAGTGAGACAAGAAGTGGAGGGGCCCTGACTCAAACATGCTGGAGTGTGGAGATTTATTGTCTTTACTTTAATATAATAAACCCCCTCAGGGTCTGAGTTAGCATCATCATTTTTCCTTAGTCTGCTCTGTGAAGGCTGCCAAATCTACGTGGAGAGATTGATGCCTCCTTTACTCTGAATAATAGGGACAAAGGCATTCATCAGGGATTCTTCAGAATTTGCTGGCCCTAGAATTTCTCCCCAAGGTTTGGAACTCAAGTGCCCTAGAGCATTTAGGAGGGAATGTCAGAGAACGTGGTCCTGAAGAGGGAAAGCCAGTAAGTGCTTTGTAATGCTCTCTGTGCTGGGACAGGCTGTTCACATTACTTTATGTATTTTGAAGTCCTTCCTCGCTAAGCAGAGGGAGGTTGTCATAACTCTGTTGTGTGTGTGGTGGGGGGAGGGGGAAGGGGGGAGGGGAAGCTGGAAAAGTAGGGAAGTTGACCAGAAAGCGACCATTGCAATACGAGTAAGCTCATGTTCCAGTCCATGACTGTTGTTGGGACAGACTGTGCTACTCAACCTGATCTGTTTTTAGCTAGATATTTCCAAAGAACTAGAAGTGTATTACCATCATCTGGAACCCAAGGACACACATATCTCACCTTTTGCCCTTCTCTCCCTCTTTTTTCAGTCCCCCTCCCAAATTGATAGGTCACTATGCCAGACATGCAGGTGTACCTCCCAGGTTCTCCTCGAGGGAGGGCTTGTTGTCCCAACTCGGGGGTGGGGTGTTGTCAGCAGGTGGCCTCCAGAGACTGCCTGAGCTGTAGAGAGATGCCTCACCTGCTATCACACCATCCCCAGCCGTCTAAGCAAGACGGGGATGGGGATGTAGAAGTCCAGCCATTTCAGCCTGACACACAGCTCTGATGGGCAGTGCTTTTTGGAGCTCCCCGCTGGCCTAGGTTCGTTGGACCTGCCTTGAAGTTCAAGTTCTTGCACTTCCCAAGTCTGCTTCCTTTCTTCCCTCTCACAAGTGCTGAGCCCCAGTAAACATTATATGCCCCAAATTCCATGTTCGTAACAGCTTCCAAGTGCCCCACCTGTGAGAGGCTCTAGCCTGCCTAGTCACTGGTAGAATCCCATGCTCAGAACTCCAGCCTACTCCTGATATGTAAACAGCGAGTTTTAGATTTTAGAAAACACATTTTTCCTCTAAAACAAATCTTGGCTTTGAAACTTTTGTTGTCATGGATAGGAAAAACAAAACACAAATTGAATTTAAAACTCAAACTTGAGAAATGGCTCCTTTGTTCTAGGCTGTGTTTATCCTCTTTTTTTTTTGAAGCAATGAATGCCATTGATTCCATGGTAGATAGCCACAAGGCAAGAGGAAATAAAAAAAGAAAGAGCTGGAAAGTATTTATAAAACATTGTCCACATTATAGCTACGATGCAGAGCTTTCTAAACTCTAGAGCACTAGACAACCTCTGTAGCTGTTGCTCTTTTGATGGAAGAGTGCTGTTCTTCCTGCCAGGTTGTTGTCCATTGAACAACTGGGCTGGCCGCGACTTGGTCTCTTCCTCAGCAAACGCTGCTCCAGGTGAGTCGGGAGCCTGTGTAGATGGGATGAAGCAGCAGCCACGATGGCAGGAGTGGCTTTAATCTAGTTAGAATATTTTAATTTCAGCCCGTCTTTTCTGCCCTTCTTTTCTCAGGAGCTTATTTCCTGGCGCTGGAGTGCCCTTCTAATCCAGAGATTTTCGGACTTCCTCCTAGATACATAGGGAACGACAGGTTCTCTTTCAAAGGAGCCTCTTTTCTGTGCCTTCTGTGCTTACCTTTTGACTGTGACGGAGAAGCCATCAATTTGTCCTATGTGGGGACTCCTGTCACTGAGAGGTGTGGCCACTGGAGAACCCAAGGGACCAGTGGTCTTGAATTCTCTTTTAAAGGAATTTAGCTGCAGCATTTAGCATTCTTTCAGCAGCCCCTTAGCATCCTTGGCTTCCTTTTAGGAGGGGTCACGATGAGGAACAGGTACTGAGCTGCCATGTGGATCGAGTCTCTCAGCTGACTGTACTTTGTGGAGTAAAGGTCTTTATGTGCCTGGGATACTGAACCAGGCTCAGATGTTGTGGCCAATCTCAAAATTCGTAAAGACCCATGGTTTTCTTTAAAAAACAAATTGCAAAATTTGTTTGGCCCTTTTACATGGTAAAGTAGATAAATGTTCCCTAAAAAAAAGAATATGAATTTTTAAAAAAATATTTTTACTGATTTCAGAGAGAAAGGGAGAGGGAGAGATAGAAACATCAATGATGAGAGAGAATCATTGATTGGCTGCCTCCTGCATGCCCCCTATGGGGATCTAGCCCGCAACCCAGGCATGTGCCCTTGGCTGGAATCGAACCTGGGACCCTTCAGTCTGCAGGCTGAAGCTCTATCTACTGAGCCAAACCAGCTAGTGCAGAATATGAATTTTTTAAAAAGCTTTTTTGAGCATCTACTATGAGCCATCTCATGTTCTAAACCTTGACACATTATTGTATTTAATTCTTAGCAACAACTCTAAGAGAAAGTTTCTACTAATATTTGCATTTTATACAGGAAACAGGCATCCATCTGGTTCAGCCTCTCACTGTTCATAAGGAGTTGCTAACTGCCTTTCTTTTTGAATTACTCAATAACTATTCACTGAGCACCTATTGCAGGGGTCCTCAAACTTTTTAAACAGGGGGCCAGTTCACTGTCCCTCAGACCGTTGGAGGGCCGGACTATAGTTTAAAAAAAAAAACTATGAAAAAATTCCTATGCACACTGCACATATCTTATTTTGAAGTAAAAAAACAAAACGGGAACAAATACAATATTTGTATTTGCATGTGGCCCGCGGGCCGTAGTTTGAGGACCCCTGCCCTATTGTATGCCAGGTGCAATGCCAGTACTGGGGGTGGAGTGCTGAATAAAATACAATCAAATACAATCATGGTCCCTGCATTGTTGGAAGTCAAAGATGGTTGGAGTGTGCAGTTCTTGAGGAGCAATACTTGCATATCAGATTTTTTTGTTGGGGAATAAACCTCAAACCCTCTGCTTGCTGCCTAATTCTTCTTAAAGGCTCAGTTGGGAGAAACCAGGTTTCTGGAAAGTTTTTAAAAGAATGTATTGTATGCAGCCCATTTTCCTTCCAAGTTTCTGGTCTTAGTGAATGACACCACCCTGGTTGTCATCCTTGACACCCACTTCTCCCTTCTCCTACCACATCTGTCAATCACTGAGTCCAGGAGCTCTTTCTCCTAAACATCTCTTGCGTCAACATATTCTTCTCCATATCCAGTGCTACCATCACCTGTTGCCCAGACAACCAGGTGATGGTAGCCTCCTGACAAGGGTATCATCTCTTTGCCACCCTACAGCCCACTGTCCATTTAACACCTGTGTGTGAAGCGGCCGTTGGATATACAAGTACACAGCTCAGAGGTGCAGCCTGGTGGAAGAAGAGGTGTCAGCAAATGAATTTCACAAAGAGGGTCACTGAGGTAGGAAGAAAACCGGAGGAATGTGGTATTGCCAGGGTAGAAGATGGGTTGTTTCCAAGGAGGAAGTGATAACAGGTTAATATAAAACACAAAACAACCCATTATATTTGCCAGCACAGGGATCATGGGTGACCTTAACAGAGGTGTTTCATTGGAGTCCTTAGGACACAAGTACAATTCTAGTTCCCCGTGAGAAGGCAAGAGCAGAGGTGGGTTGTTGTTGTTGTTTTTTTCCTGTGTGTGAAAGAGAAATTGAATTAGCCGTTGAAGGAGAATATTAGATGTGGGATTTGTGTTTTTGTTTGTTTATACCATGGGAAATTCTATAGCATGTTTGCGCATTGATGGGAATGATCCAATAACAAGCAAGAGACTGAAAATGCAGCAAAGAGAGGGAATCCTTGAGGAGGTGCTGAGGATGAGGATCAGTCCCAGAGCCCAGAGGACAGGCGGGCCTTTGTTGGAGGAGCTCTGTTTCCTCCACTGAAACTAGGGAAATGGAGAAGATAGAGATGGAAAAAAGAAGATTAATAGATTTTGTGGTAAAGAAGATATATGCATTCGTATCTGATGGTTTCTATGTGTTTTTTTTTCTTGAACAGCATTTTTCTTTTTAATTTTATTTTCCAATTACAGTTTACATTCAATATTATTTTGTATTAGTTTCAAGTGTATAGCATAGTGCTTAGACAATCATTTACATTTGTTATAAAATGTTCCCCTAGATATTTCCAGTACCCACCTGGCACCATACATAGTTATTACAATATTATTGACTATATTCCCTATGCTGTACTTTACATCCCCGTGACTATTCTGTAACTACCATTCTGTACTTCTCAATCCCTTCACCTTTTTCACCCAGTCCCCCAGGCCCTCCAGTCCCCCCTTCCCTCTGGCAATGATGTATATGTATTTTTAAGCAAAAAATCATTTAAAATACCATGTTTAATTCACATTTGAATAAGGTTTGAGGAACAAGACTGTAAAAAGGTATAAAATAATCATTGAGACTGGAAAAGCTTACTAGGGAAACATAAGAGGAGAGTCAAGTGTTTTGTCCAGTTTGAGCTTTTGATCATGAATTTAAAGTGAAACTGGTCAGCTATATTTTGGGTGTATGTTTTTTCTCCAGTAACTATTTAAAAAAAATCTTTATTGTTGAAAGTATTACATGTGTCCCCCCTCCCCCCTTCCCCCCTCCAACCCACTCCTGCCCTTGCCCCAGGCCCTCACCACCCTACTGTCTGCGTCCATGGATTATGCATGTATGCATACAAGGTCTTTGGTTGATTACCACCCTCCCCTGCCTTCCCTCAGAGATTTTGCACGCTGTTCCATGCTTCCTTGTCTCTGGATCCACTCTGTCCACCGGTTTATTTTGTTAATTAGATTCCATATGTGACCAGTAACTATGTTTTAAATGCAGTGTGGATAAATTGGACTCAGCTGGGCTTGGTTTGATTCCAGGCAAGAGTGACAGAAGAAAGAGGTGTAAAGGAGGAGAAGAAATTTTCAAAGAGATGATTGTAATTATAGACGTGATATAAATGAGTAAGAAGGAAAAGAAAAGAGGAAACTTACTGGTGGATAATGAGAATAAGGTTGATGGTTTGGAGGTATCAATAGGTTAAAGAATTATGTCAGTGAACTGAATATAGAGGAGGGTCAGAGAAACAGATTTGGAGTTGATGCTGATTGTAATAATGCCAAGGTAGTGTGTAATAATGAGACTACTGGTACATCAGCTGTAATAAAGTAGAGAGAAAAGCAACTGGAGAGGAGGAACTCAAGGAGCTGAAAATCCAGAGTTTAGATGTCATCTCATTTTGCATACATCTCAATGTTTTATAGTTGTTAGTCTATCTTTTGAACAAGTACTACATTTGTCCTGTCATGGCTTCTTTCCTAATTCCCAGTATAGTACCTGATCTATAAAATACTCAAGATATATTTACTGAATGCACAAATAAGTTCATTCTTTTTAAAAATTTCAAAGTTTCTTTTGAATCGAGAGCTGCACCCTGGACACCATTGTTTTGACTCCTCTTGGACCACTTTTTGTGAGCTGCTTCGAGGGTAATGAAATTTACTGCTGCCATGGATGCTAAGAAGCACTCCTGTTTAATTCTCCACAGTATTTTAATGCAGGAGTATGCTGAAGAAGTCATTCCCGCCCTCACACAGCATTCTCTTCATTAGGACCCACAAGGGGAATTTTCCTAGGATTTCATTGCTAGGATAACCTGTGACTCTCCTAAGTGAACGATGCTTTGTGAGTCTCAACAGCAAGCATGGTTTCCTCTTTGCTTTGCCCATTTTAACCAGATTTATGGCTCAGGCTCAGCTTTAGCAATTATGCATAAAAATGTGGTATGTATTTCTTAGGAATGATTTTACCCTTTGCTTTATCTGATTATCGTTTTCTGATTTCCTCATCATGGTGACTTCTTCTCATGGTTTTTTTTCTTCTATTCTAGAATCTTTCTTGAGTATTTAATGCTAAAGTGTGTTTCCCAAGTTTTAGCTACATGAAATTTTCTTTTAACCACTTCAATTGGTGTAAGTTTCTGGTGATCATGGGGGAAAGCAAACCCGTTATTTTATAAACGATGATAGTAAAGATTCATCAGGTTATGGCCATTTATAAATAATACATGTTTCTGAGGATTTATGGGCCTAATCTTTTTGAGTTATGCTTAGAATGTCTACAGCATATAGTTTTAAAAATGTCATCTATTTTGGATTTAATAGCAGGCACAAAATTGCTTACAAAAAGTGAATGCATTTCTGAACACTTCTCAATGAAGTAAAAAGCTCCTATCTGAGACTGTTAATTTAATTAAGGAAACTCATGAATTTTTGATCATATATTTGCTTAATCAAATGATATAAAAAATGTAAAGAGAACTGAATCATGACCAAGGAGTCTTGGAGCCTTGTAAGAAGGGCACATGCAATACTAAGCAGAGGTCCGATGACAAATATGGACAGAACAACTGCTGCATGGGAAGAATGAATGAAACAGAAAGATAAGTGAAACACTGCAGGACTAAGCACATAGGCATACGGGACACAAAAATCTACAGACTGTAAAGAAAATGAAAGGGGGATAAAGAGGAAGTGTTACAATGTGAGTTTTGCAATACAACATATTGGAGAGTCATTAAATATAATAAGTACATTAAATACTGTTGCCGGAGTGTTTCTCAGCATCTAGAAGGGTTCAGGAATCTGGAAAAGGGGCTGCAAGTAAATTAGTAAAGAGACTAGACATGATATATAAATTTGGAAGGCATTTTGGGGAGCCAGAGGAGACCTAGATTCAGTAACCAAGTTTTCTGAATCTCTGGAGCGCTAGCTTTTTATTAACACAAATTGCCCTAAAGCAAAACAGATTATATATATCTATATATCTATATCTATATATCTATATCTATATCTATATATATATATATATATATATATATATATATATATATATATATATCTGAAAGGTAAGGTTTGGTATACAGTAGGCATTGTCAGGTTGGGGGAACTGCTTTTGGCTGTTCAGCTGTTGGCCAGCAGCAGGTAATAACGTAGATTTTCAGGTTTGGGGAAATGCCCTCAGCTGTTTCAGCAGCAGGTAATATGATTCAGCCCTGCTGAATACAGAAGCCCATCAACCTTTTGAGGACTTCTTGCATTTTATTATGCTCTGCTGGAATTAGCTTCCAGCATACTGTCACTGTGGGAAAGTTGAATTCATAACATTAGCTGAGACACCTACTGTGTTTTACAAGTGTCCTTTTCCGCAGATAGAAATGCAAGCCTGCGGGACAAAGAACAATACATGGGCACCCCTCAGCAAAGGCACGTGCGCCGGCAGAGTGAGACCCGACCACTGTGTGTAGGTTGCTTAGGGACAACTGGAGGCTTCTTTCTCTACAGTTTGATCACTAGTCTCAGTATGTGTTGTATAGAGAAGAATGAGATTGTTAATGGTGTTTGCAGTGAAATATAGGAATGAGTAAATAAACAGCATTAGAGTTTTATCAACAACTGTAAAGATCTTCCAGAATGGCATAAGGTATATTGGCACAGCTAGTTTTACATATTTTTGTAAGCTACCGCCAGTCCTTTCTTGGGAGAAGCTGGGTTACTCCTTAAAGAACATAAAACAAGACTACATAAAGTCATCTGATCACTACTGGATTTTTAAAAAATGACACTGGGGATGGAATGTTTATTGTTAGTATTATTAGAACTACTAGCGATCATACATTGTGTGCTTCTAATTTGTTAAGCAATATGCTAAACATTTTTATGCCTTATTTAATCCTCATAGCAATTTGATGATAAGTACAACCTCTATTCCCATGGATGCAATCTGGAAATATTTAGTGAGTTCTTAATATGTGCTGGCAACTTCTCTAAAGTGAGGGAGACAAAGACCTTGCTTTCTTGGTGCTTCCCTTCTAATGGAGGACAATGAACATAGTAATGAATGCTAGGAGGAGTGTACAGTTAGACAAGGGGATAGAGAGTGACAGGAAATGCCATTTCAGACAGGGTGATCTGGAAGGACCTCTCTGAGGACATGCCACTGGAGAGGAGACTGGTATACAGAGAGTGTGTCATTTTACAAAAGAGGAAACAAGAGCCCAAAAAGGCTAAGTAACTTGCCAAGGTCACACAGATGGAAAGTGATAGAGCTGGAATTCAAGTCCAGGCGTATCAAACTCTGGAACCTTCACTTTTCACCATTAACTTCACTGCCTCCAGGTTCCAGGCTAATTCCACTGCAGGCCCAGAGGGCAATTTTGAAGGTAGGATCTCAACTCCTGGAATTACAACTTCCCAAGTCAGGGCTTGCTGCTTGTTGAGGCTCAGTGTGGCCATCTTGCTATGGCCACTGCAGTGTGGCTAGGCTACAATTTCATGGCTGGGAATCCGTTTTGCTGTGTGAAAATAGTGGGAGGGGAGTGTTTTGGGGAACTGCGATGCACAGTGTTGGCATTTCTAACGTGCTGCTTGACTGGGAACCTGCAGAATGTTCAAACTGCTTGAGGGTAACCCACGCTGTGTTCTTAGCCTGAGTCCTACATGATAAAATTGGTAGCAGCGGAAACACATTTCCCCCCTCTGAGCTCCTATCATTTATTTTCAGTCATGCTGTAGTCACTGCTGGAAGGGAATGCGACTCTGTACCATTTACACTCACCAGCCTACATTTGTCCAGGTAGAACTCCTGTAACCTTTCCATCTCCCCCTTGGTATCCCCAGTGTGTATGTCAGTCTCTGGTGGTCCCATGACACTGTGTGTATAGACTGGGTCCAATCACCTTCTCTCCCAGTCCAGGGATTAGTACTAGGTGCTTGTTCATAAGAAGGAGGGAAAACCATTCTATTGAGAGTAGCCTGGATCTGGGATAAGTTCCAGAAGAAACCCTGGCCCCTAAGATGTGCAAAATAACAGTCTTCAAGTGGATGTAGATTTGAATACATTGATGTCACAGATGGTCTCAGAAGAATTATAACCTGTTCATTCATTTGCTCATTTATCAAGAACTTATTAAGTACCTTTAATCAGCACATCACAATTCTTAATGCAGGAGATACAGAGAGCACATGGTCTCATGAGAGAGAGAGGAGAGACATGAACAAGATCATTGCATTTAGTGTGATAAGTGGTTTAAAGGAGGCATAGCAGGGTGATGTGGGAAAAACAAAGAGTGACACTATCGGGGAATCCAAAAAGGCTTTACAGAGAAGGTGCTGTTGCAGGTGGACCTTGATGGATGAGTAGAATTTGCCAGGGGAGGGAGGAATGAAGGGTAGTATAGAGGGGATGGCTTGTCCAAAGACACAGACTTCACGCTTGACCTGGCTTACTCAGAAAACAGCAAGGGGACCTGAGATGCCCCTGCAGGAACTGGGGGAGGGATGACTGGCAGAAGCCTGGCTTGACCAAGGGCTTCTGCTCCCAGCCAGGGGGCCAGGCCTTTTTCTTTCCCTCCGTGGAATGGAACCATAGGTTTTTGGAACAAAAAGGCCCTTATAGAAATCTAGTCGATAAAGAACCAAGACTCAGATGGCGACTGAATTAAACTAGAAATTTAAAATAAGAATATGATTTAAGAGTTACTGTCAAAGGAAAAAAAACCTCTTGAGGATTTCTGTTTTGATTCAATACATCTATATTATTTATCAACGTAAACATTTGTTTCTGAAATGTGCTTGTGTTTCAGTGGCGGACACTGAGTTGTAAAGATATCAGATTCTTACAGCCAAGTTGAGTCTGTCAGCAAGTTCACCACACAGCATTAAGATTAATGCTGTGGCCATGCGCCCACACCACACAGGTGGGAGGATAAATTGGAACAGTCCTCCTGAAGGGCAATTTGGCAATGTACATCAAACAACCTGTGAAACCTGAGCAGCGTTGACCTCTAAATTCAGTTTTAAAGAATCTGTCCTAAGGGAATGGCCAGGAATGCATTTACAATATATTTATTCATTGTAGTGTTGTTTATAATGTCAAAAAAGTAGGTAACTTACACTTTCTAATAAAATAATTATGATATAATGGAGTACTTTGTAGATGTTAAGATGATTAAATAAAATTACTTGTTTATATGGAAATATAGTTCTAAATGAAAAAAAATAGGTTACAAAAAAATAACCCTAAAGTTGTAATATATAAAAGGCTAAGTGCCTCACTGTCTGTCCATCTGACCATCCGACCGACTGACCAGCCAGTGCATATGATGCACACTGGCAATTTAAAAATAAACGTTGACTCACACATGCATGATACATATAAAGCTCTTGCTGGCACCAATCGCATGCATGTATTTTGATCTGTCATTGTCCATCATGAATTTGGTTGATACTTCTATTATAGATAAAGGGCAAATAATGATATTAAAATATTTCTTCTAATTAATTTCCTTTCAATGTGTGTGAATCCATGCACCAGGCCACTAGTCTTGTAATATTTAGATATATAGTCTATGTATGTGTATGAAAAAATTTAGAAAAATATATACCAAGATGTTAATAATGGTTATGACTGAATGGTAGAAGAGCCAATTCTTAATTTATGCTATTGGTTTATCTATATAATTTTTAGGTTTTTTGTTTTGTTTAACAATTAACATGTATTACCTGATTACTTGGGCAATATAAAGTTATACATTATTTCCCCCCATGTGTGCAGACTGTCTGGTTGCTTGTCCACCACACCCATTTAAGACTCTTCTGTTGTTCCATTTAAGACTGGCCAACAACTGGGGGAAAAGAAAATGAAAAAGTTTGGGAGCATATATTATGGTTGAAAAAACTCTGCCTGTGTAGGCCATGTCTGTGATGGGAAAGATAAGCTAGGCTTCTCTCTACTTCTTTATGGAAAACACAGATCTTTAGATTAAGCATGGCTGGCTAAGTTCCAGAATTTCCATTTCCTCAGTAACTGAGTGGTGTAATATTTGGATAAAAGCATCTGCTATTTTTAAAATCATCTATGCTGAGCAAAAGTCTTACCCAGACACCTGGATTCCCTTTCAGAAATCATGATTTCCATATTCAGCATATAGAGCTGGAAATAATGTGAGGTTAAGCCAGTCCTCTTAGGGGGAGTTGCCCATTTGTTCTTTTGCCCACTTATTTTGATTCTGGTATTCAAATGTGCATCACCCAAATCTAGTGTCTATTTCAAGCACATTTAGAAAGAATTCTGTACCTTGGGTTTTATGAAGATGATGAAGGAAAAAGAATGAATTGAAACACCATCCACTGTTATTTTTAAAAAATATATATTTTGATTTCAGAGAGGAAAGGAGAGGGAGAGAGAAACATCCACGATGAGAATTATTGATCATCTGTCTCCTGCATACTCCTTACTGGGGGGTCAAACTTGCAACCCAGGCGTGTGCCCTGACTGGGAATCAAACTGTGACCTTCTGTTTCATAGGTCGGCGCTCAAACACTGAGGCACGCCGGCCAGGGGTCCATTCGCTGTTCCTATGCACAGACTTCAAGACGCAAATGAAAGGTATGCAGCAGATTCTGCCCTTTTCTCTTTTCCTTCCTCACCAAGGATCTTAGATATAACCTTTGATTACACTAATTCTGGTCCAAACTGATTTCTTTTCTGCAGGTCTCATGTTGTTCTTATGTGAAAAGATCTGCATCCTGCTTATGCCTTTATTGCAGAGTTTTTGCTTATGCCGAATAAAGGACTGAGATATTGTGTAGATTTTCCATTTTTCCTCTGTATTTCAGATGGTAAACCTAGTTGTTTGTATTTCTTTAGCCTGGAAACTTGCAGGTAAGAGAAGAGGAACTGCTTGAGAACAAAGGCTGCTCCCGTGTGTTATACAATCTTGAGCTCATCAGAGAGACTGAGTTGGGTGCAGGACAAGGGTGGTGCAGAGCGAGCACCTTCACGACAAGGTGAGAACAGGGGACTCCCGGGTATGGATATTAAGAGGGGTCTGGAGACCCGCCAGTCTGGAGAGCAGTTGGGACGCACCCTGTTCCCAGTGCTCTGCAAGGGGCGAGACTTTGAGGGCGAAGGGCAGGGGAGCACCTGGGCAGGATGGGCACAGGTTCTCTGCTTCGGAGTCGTCAGATGTCAAGGGATCACGTGGACATAAACTTTGAAGATGTCAGAGAAGCCGTTAGAAAAATGAGGACCTGCCCCTGTTTTCAAATACTGGAGGCTGGAATAAAGTCTGAGGGACCATATAGCTCCAGCCCGGAATGGCACGAGCTTGGGGTATGTGTGGTTGATACAAAGAAAATGTTGTTTCTGGCTCCAATGTCACTGGCTCCGAGTCCATCAGATACACTTCTTAGACGGCCTTGTTCCCCTTCAGTTTTCCCTAACGTGCTGCCTGTGGTCTGTATAGACTTCTGATTGTTGTGCCCATAAAAAGAGGTTGGTTCAACTGTTGCATTCCCTTTGTAAGAATTAGTCATTTGTGATCCAGAAGCTGAAGTTTTAGGGGCTGTGATTATTAATGGAGTTTGTAACTCTTGTGCGGGAAAAGCCACTTCCAGTTTGGCGCTAACAATAGATAACCCGTTTTTTGTAGCTTCATGAGATCTCCTATATCACATTATTAAACATCATCCCTCCCCTCTATATCAGCTCCAGCTATAATTGTTTCTCTGTGCCTTGGAGCAGGTAATCCATTTTTAGTTGCACTATTAAAAACTATGCCATTGATTATTCCTTGGTTTATGTCATGGTTCCTGAGGCTATGATTTAAGTCACTGTAAGTCTGGATCTCTAATAGATGTTGCTATGCATTGGATGGGACTGTCAGCACAGGCTGGGGCAAGGAGGACAACACACATGGAAATGAACATGGGTTACTTACTCCCCGTGGATGAGAAATAAAGCCAGGAGCCCTGACCTCAGGTTTCTGAGAGCTCAGTGGAAAAGTTAGAACATAGTTTCCAACACCTTTAATGCAAAATAACCTTAAAATAAGGCAGGAATTAATAAGGGTGAGAATTAAGTTACAAGGCATTATGGGCATTTAAAGAAGGGAGAGTTTATTTCTGGATGGAATTCTTGTAGAATAGTCATGGATGAGGCATAGGATTTGGGGAGGTGAAGGAAAAGGTAATTTATATGTCTGTTTTTGAGGAGGCATTGCAGCTAAAGCCTGTGGATTTGGTTCTTAAGATAACCCACAGGCAATCCAATCCACCATATTTTTTTTGTATCTTAAGCCTCAGTTGGAGGTAGATTGGAACAAGGTAAAGTCATGTTCCGTTTCTTTTTAGGGGAGTTTGAATTCATTCCATTTCATTTTCCCTTTTCATTCCTTTTAACAGAAGATCTAACTGAGCCAATAGTGTAAGTTCAGCATTCTCCAGAGATGGGGCATGACTGGGCCAGGGGAGGGTTAGGACCTCCCTTACCCCTTGGCTTTCCCCATGTGAGGTATCCAGCAATTTATAGTGAACAGCCTGGAGACACTGACTCTTCCCCCACCCCGCCCCCACTTCTTCTCTGCTCTGGTTCCACTCTTAGGCCCAAGGGAGTGAAATGTGGAGAACGTGATTATCACTACAAGGTGCTCTCCACACGCGGCTGAGATCTTCAGTGAGGCAATGGTGAAGAGGAGAAGCACCTGGATAGAAAAGGCTCCACATATAATGGCACCAAGCCTGGTTGTTGTATTACAATATAAGTATAGTATCTGATAATTACTGAGCACTCCCTTGCCACAAAACCCTTGGCATACATTATCCTATTTACTCTGAATCACTACCCTATGAAGGAGATACAACTGTTCTCCTTATTTTACAGATGAGGAAACTTAGGCAGAAACGTTAAGACAACTGTCAAGGTTACCAGCTAATAAGCATTAAAGTCTGGTTGTAGAGTCCCAAAGCCTAATTTCCTTTTTTATTTTTTTAATCCTCAACTAAGGATATGTTTTCATTGATTTTAGAGACAGAGAGGAAGAGGGAGCGAGAGAAAGAGAGAGGAGAGAGAGAGAGAGAGAGAGAGAGAGAGAGAGAGAGAGAGAAAGAGACATTGAATGGTTGCCTCTCATATGCACCCCAAACAGGGATCAAACCTGCAACCTAGATATGTGCCCTGCCCAGAAATCAAACCCATGACTTTTTGGTGTACAGAATTATGTTCCAACTAACTGAGCCACACTGGCTGGGGCTTAAGCTGCATTAACCGCTTTCAGAGAGCAGAGCAGGGAGTGTACAGGGAATTTCTGCTAGTGCTCCCAGTACTCTAGTAGGTAATGGAGATATTGCTGAGTTTACTTGCATTAGCAGAGATAATTTAATGAACCGCATTAAAACAAAAACAACGGTTGTACTCACAGAATTCATGTCTCTCATTTCCTCAGATGTTTTCTCTGTCTTCTGCCGTCAATAGGGCAGTGGCTAAACTGGCATTTTAAAAAAGCATCAATAATGAATTAAAATAGCTTTTTGATGGAAAAAGTATTGATAGCCTATAAAAGAGTAACACGTTTAATAACTTGCCTGGAGTTGACTGACAACAGCAAATGAAACACATTTGCAGCATGTTGTATTTTGTTGGTTTAGATTCTGAAAAATAAATAAGCCAATAAACTCACCTATTGAAGATTGCTGGCTGTGTGTCTTGAGTTACAGGACTGTAATATTGATTCTCCAATCAGGAAACATGAGTTTGAATCCCTAAATGTGCCTTTGCTTCTCAGACACGTATTTGTATAATTCTTCAGCTTCCTGTAGTAGGACTGATATTGAACCTATAACCTATGTTCACTTGTCATTTACAGGTTCACAGCCAATTCTAGACTCTATTTCCAATACCAGAGAGAGGGAACATTTCTAAGAGAACCTGGTTAAAGGGAGAAGGTGAGGAGTGCAATGGTGTGCTGTGCATGAGTATGATTTGATAACTTCTTTAAAGGGGAAAGTTTAAGTCTTTGTTTTTCAGTCAGGTCAAAATATTCTCATATGAAATTATCTGCATCAAGATACCATGTAACGGAAGAAAAGGAAAGCAGTAGTTGCTATGGTGAGGGGATGGGGCTGAAGGGACCTATACTTTTCAGTATATATGATTAATTCTTTTTGCACTTCGTAGTGTGTGCATGTTTTGCCTTTTCACTAAAACACAAATGAGTTTCCTTTAAGACTGTGTATGCTCTTCATAGACCTATTGCCCTGAGAACAGTGCATGCCAACTCCAGGATCATACAAGGTTAAATTCCTTAACTTAATTTCAATGTATTTGCATCACAATCTCTCTCTCTGTCTCTTTCTCTGTCTCTTTCTCTGTCTCTCTCTCTCTCTCTCTCTCTCCTTTAAGAACTTGGATTAGGGAGACAGGCAAATATAAAATCTGCAGAGTGGGCCATCAAGTTGCCGACCAGGCAGGGAAGAGCTGATGTTATAGTTCAAGACCACCTACTGTCACACCTACTGTCAGAATTCTTTCTTGCTGGGGAAGGTCAATCATTTGGGGGGAGAGGTCAATTTTTTGTTGTATTTAGACCTTCAACTGATTGAATGAGGCCAAACCTCACTTGGGAGGGTAATCTGCTTTATTCAAAACCCACTGATCTAAATGTTCTCATACTCCAAAACACCCTAACAGAACCATTCAGAATAAATTTGTTCCAATATCTGGGCAACATGGCCCAGACAAAATGACACATAACATTAACCATCACAGAGACCTAGACACACAGGGATGAAGATGATATGAAGGATGATGTGAAGATGCAGGCAGAGATCAAAGTGATATTGCCTACAAGCCAAGAAATGCTATGGATTGCTGGCAACATCCAAAGGCCAGAGAGAGGCATGGAATGGTGTCTCGCATGGGACCTCCAGGAGGAATCAATCCTGTCAACACCTTGATTTTGAAATTCGGGCCTCCCGAACTGCGAGACAGTAAATTTCTGGCATTTTAAGGCACTTAGTCTATGGTAATTTGTTCCAGTAGCCCTAGGAACCTAAACTCAGTAGTGACATGGCCTTATTTTCCAGTGGAAATCAGATCTGATGTCCCACTAGGAAGGGGTTGCATGTTCACGATGCCAGGCACATTGCAGAACTCTGTGTGGGTACTGGGGAGGGCCAGGGAAGGGAAAGGAAGGCTTAGAGGTGGGGTTTACAGGGTACACCAGGACCAAAAGTCAATGGCAAGCTACACACTGAAACAAGTGCAACATGTATGATAGGAAAGTAGGGATTCCTTTTCTTACATATGAAAAACTGCTGCAAAAAAAGTAATGAGAAAAATATAAGTGCCTTTTAGGAACATGAGGAAAGTTGAGAAACAATATCCAAAGAAAGAATGACAAATGACTACTATATCACCACCCGGATGACCTGGCTCATTGGGCATCCTGGCTTATATTAAATTTGTGCTCAAGATTTACTCCTTTAAGTGTGTCCCAAAGAGGCATGTTCAGAATCCAGCTTGTGAGCAGACCTACATCAGGCCAGATGAAGTAATGGGGGTGCTCACAGCTAGATCCATCAGCAGGAGTGCTACTGCTGCTGCTCAGGCATCGTGCCAAACCCGGAACCAAGGGTGTTGTGAAATATGAAAGCATAATCAATTGATTAATCAATAAAGAGGCATTTATTGAAGACCTCTTTTGTCTCCCACTCTGCACTGTGCACTCTGAGGAGCAGGAGAACAACATGTCCCGCTCCAACTACCCCCACCCCGCCCCTGCCACGGAGGAGGAAAGACTGGGGTTTAAGAAAGAACAGGACCACAACCCAGGGAGGATGAATCGATCGGTCCAGATCATATCAGTTCTGGCTATACATTAGAATCCCTAGAGAGCTTT